GCTCCGGGCCTGTTCGGGGAGATTCTAGCGGAGATCTGCAGGCCTGCGCCACCTTTGCCGAGGCTGGAGCCTGAGCTGACTTCCTCGTCGGTCTTAAAGGTCCCTCTGCACAGCAACCTAGTTCCGAGTCCTCTTTTCTTCTGTTTGCACACGAGGTCCTCACCTTGGAGACTTAGGAGCCTTGTGCTCATCCTAGTGGGTGCAGGCTGTTTTTGGAAAAAGGCATCCTTTGCCAAGTGGATCAGACCCTGAAGTGGCTCAGGGTGGTGGTGCCTGGTGGTTGGTACTTCCCGACTCAGAACACACTTGTCAGACGTGCTTCGAAAGCGTGGATTGCCAAGTCTTGTCCCCAGACCTTCTGGCTCAGCCGGTCTGGACTGGGGCTGCTGCTGGACTGGTGACCACTCTGGGGAGCTCCAGCACGGGCTCCATCCGCTGATGGTCTCCTTGCTCTGGAGGCGTCTGTGATGGTAGCGGCACACTCCCATGTTCCCTGACCCCAGCCCTGGTCCACCACTGGCCCAGACAAGGTCTTGTGGGAACCTGGAGTCACTTCTTGCATTCGTTCTGCTGTAGGACCCATGCTGCCCGAAGGTTCGAGGAGGAGAAACCTCAGCTGGCCCTTCAAGGGTCCTATGGGGGTCAGAGAGGGAGAGGGAAGCTCATTTTCAGAGAGTGCTTGTCTGCGAACATTCTAGCCCTACGCCTCCGTGCCGACCTCGTCTAACCCAACTGGCCTGCCCTGGTAGCTGAACACGGGCCTCGGGAATGGCGCCCTGGATAAACCCGCTTTGCAGAGCATCGGACACGTGCCTTAGAGTCAAGTTATGAGCCGCCGGGCTTTTGAAGCTCAGGGCAATTCCCACCCTTTAGGACAAAGCAAACAAACAACAGCTGCCGGAGAAGGGACAGGCTGCCAGCCAGGCACTAGGCAGGGGGATCGCAAGCATTTGATAAAGTTGCAAGCCATTGCCTGTTCCGTGCAAGACGCTAGCAAAGAAGTGACGAAGAGAACGCAGTCCCTGCCCGCAGTGTGGCGGGGATGGCCATGGGGACGAACCATGACAGTGGGCAGTGAGACGGGGAGCGTGAGTCCGCGGGGATGTGAGGGGCGCTGTGAGCAGAGGAATGCTGAGAAAGTGTCCCCAGGTGTGCTGGTGCCAGCAGGCCTAGAAGGATGAACCTGAGTTAGCCTGGGAGGAGGCAGGGCACCTCGGGAAAGGGGCACTTGGTAACAAAGGTGAGAAAGGATGAAGTGTGGCGAGCTGGAGGGAGGAAGGTGGTTTCTGGGTGGGGGGTGGGAGGTGTGCTTGGTTGGGGGCTGAGCTGGGGAGCCGGGCAGGGGCTCCCGTCTGGGCCTTGCACCACAATACCCTGCTTCTCAGCTCTCACTACCCATCAGAGTCAGCTGGAGCGGTTCCGGTTCCGGTTCCGGTTCCGGGCCCTGCCTCACCTCCAGAGACTCTGCTTCAACCGATCCCAGCCGAGTCCTGTGCATCTGCGCGTTTTAAAGCTCCCAGGGGAGGTATTGAGGGCAGTTTGGGGGAAAGGGTAGAGGTTCAGACAGGTTAAGGGCTAACGGAACAGGTGAGAAGTGTTGCTTTTCTTGACTTGTGGCATAAATAGTGGGAAAGGGGAGAAAGGCTCAGGTTAAAGGGGTATTTAGGAGGAAGAATCGCCAGGATTTGAGGGCGATGGGTAGTAAAGGCAGGGCAGAGTTTAGAGCTGGTCCTTGACCGCTTCCTCTGGGAACAGCGTCCCAGAGTTTATGCTTGTCATAGGACGACAAGAGGTCTGCTTTTGAACTTACAATTCTCAAGGACTCAAGGATCATTAAAGCCAGAAAATGCTGAAGAAGCCGGGGAGAAAGACAAAAGTGACTCCAGGGGTTGGGATCAAGGAGATGCCGCGGAGGAGGCGGACCAGGTGTGGCGCGTGATGGCGCAGCGGAAGGAAAACACGTGTAAATAATGGAAAGCTCCGGGCGAAACGTAATCGTCTGCTGGAGGAAGTCCTTCGCGAAAAAAATGCCCAAGTCATTCCCTTGCAGCCCGTCACCGGGGCGGGACAGAGGCTCCGGAAGCGGCGTCTGTCCCCCGGGAGCCGGGATCCGTACGCAGGAGGTGCGCGGTACCCGGCCGCGCCAGGAGATGGCACTGTCGCCCCGCCGGGCTCCTCTCCCCGCACGGCCTCCTCCCGTCGCAAAGGTGAGTCTGGGGAGTCCCCACTTTTCTTCCTTCCTGGATAACACGGTCTGTGGGGTGCGGCTCAGCATCCAGCCCGTGCTTGGTGGTGGTGCGGGCAGTGTTGCTGCTGGACGGATGCCCCAAACGGGCAACTGGGAAATATTCGGCCTAGTCGGCCTGGACTCCGAGCCCTGACCTGGTATCGGGGCTGGGTGGTGAGATGGGGGGATGGGGGCCGTTGGCATGATGAAAGGCGAGGGGGAACCCTGGAGGAGATTTTAGGCAGTGTCTAATGCGCAAATAAGTCCACTTCCCAAAGTTAGTTTTTCCTGCCGGGGAAACGGAGAATGGGTTGCGTTTCCATTCCAGGGGGATCTGAAGAAGTTAGCCCGTAAAGGCCCGCTTATTCTCTAATACAGATAAATCACAGAGCAGTTATAATGACGAAAATAGAAAACAATGGTATTGCAGTATTGCGATTTAAGTAAAAGGAGCAAACAAGACGGAATGAAAATAGCGATTTTGGTAAGTGAAGAGAATTCGCTTTACTTAGGGAAGGAAAGGAGGCGGATGGGCCTTGCCGTGGACGGGGAAAGGCTCTGGGCGGAGCCCTTTATCGTCTGCGAGACGGTTCTGACTCAGAGGCGGTGCCTGCAGGTGGACGGGCTCTGAGGAGCCGCGATGGGCGCATGGGCCTGGACCACGACGCCCAGCGTGCGGAAGGCGCGCGGGGCTCGGAGTCTGCAGGCTTCGGCTTCCACGCCAGGTCCGGGCCAGGTCCGGGTCAGGTGCGGCCCCTCCTGCGCCTCGTTTTCTTCACTCGCGAAATGGGAATGCCATCGGTCCCTGATTTACTCACCGCGTTGGTCGCTGTAAGAATCAGGTGGGGTGGGGAGGGCGCTCTTATGTAATGTAAGGAGGTTCATGGTCCATAAGCGCGGGGAAACTCCCCAGCGAAGCAGGATTATACCGGTTTCTTCACCATAGTGCCCGTTAGAACCTAATGGGACACGTGCATCGTGGATCCCCAGGAAGAGTGATGAAGCCACAACATGCCGTGGTTTGCAAACTTATCTGACTACAGAATTCGTTGGGTTTCTGAGTACCTAGATGACAGTTTTCAAGGTGTGGTTCAGAGACCACCGGTGTTTACCTGGAGTGGGGTGTTAGAGGAACAGGTTGTCTGGCTCCACCCAAGATCGAATAAATCCAGCAAAAGGACAGAGAGGGGCTGAGCATCTGCACTTGTAAGAAACACCCAGTGATTCTTTGCCTTTTCTTTTTTCCTCTGATCGGTGCATTTATTGAGCATATAGTGTGCACCGGGTTCCATGCTAGGTGCTGGTGAATAAGACAGTTACGGTTCTGGCGCCATAAAGGCTCATCCTCATGCGGGCGGGGATGCGAGGGGGGTGCTGGGAATACGGGCGCACACGCCCCTGCTACGTGGTCTGATCCTGCCCTGATGGGCCAGGCTGGTGTGGGGAGGGAAGCTTTCCTGAAGTCAGAGAGGCAAAATCTGGAACGCTGCACCAGAGGTGTGTTTGTGATGACGATTAAGACGTAGGATTCTGAATCTCCCTCATCTGACAAACGGACACGGCAGATGTGTGACTGTCACGTGAACACAGCCAGTCTTCAGCACGGTCTGAGGACCGGCGATCCTGCTGGACCTAGATTCTCCCGGAAACCCTGCCATGAGGTGAAAAAGATGGCGATGCAAATGCTCTACTGACGTGGCCCCCAGGGGGCGCTGCCACCCGAGGGAGGCTGCGTCGTGGGCAGGGAGGGCTGAGGGGAGGCCGGACAGGTACTTGAGCAACCTCACCCAACTCTTACTGCAAACTGGGAGCCCTGGTTCCTGGGGCGCGGTCATGCTGTGGACAGCACAGCATCTGGTGGGTGACATGAGGGACGTGTCACACCAAGGGGAAGAGGAAATGCACGGTGTTTTCAGCCCGTCTCATTTGATCTGTCTGCACCTTATAACTCGGTGGAGTCTCGCTTTCTTCCGGAAGGTTTCTTGCCCTTTGACTTCTCTCTCATGATCGTCCTTCTACCCATAACTAAGACAGCTGGCATTTACTGAGCAGCTACTGTGAACCGGGCCCTGTCTCAAATGCTTCGTATCCATTATCTCGTCTACTCCTGTCCCTCCGGTAGGCAGGATTATTAACTCTACTTTACAGGTAAGTTTTACGGAGATGAGGTCACGGGCCTAAGCTCCCTGACTGACGGGCATGGGAGTTGGTCTCAGCAGCTGGACGGCCTAGTCCTGAGGCCTTACCACACCAACGTGGTCCCCGCAGCCCTGCTCCAGGCAGCACTCACAGGTCACAGGCTGTGCACATGGCAACCCCCCGTCCCCCAAACTACCTCTTCTCAACATTTTGGGTGGCCCCTGTGTCACCTCCCCCACAGCCTGTCCTGTCACCAGCTTCCCACCAGGAAGCAGTGACTGCGCTGTATTGTGATGGTCTGCTTGTCGGTCCCCACAACCAGGCCATGAACCCCTCCAGACAGCTGTGTATCTGGTGTGCCTGGCACCTGGTGTGCCTGGCACGTGGAGCGAACAGCCTCGGGGGGGAGTTAGGTACGTGTGTGCGTGTGGCCGTTTCTGAGCGCCGAATCATAGCTATTTGAAAACATCCCTTTGACGCTGTGACAAAGACCGAAAGCTGTGTCGAAGGGACTCTGTTTCAGTCTTGTGTGACCTTGAATTCGGGAATGATACCGAGGCCAAAGGGCAAGGGGCCAGTGCAGAGGGTTCTGGGGAGTTGCAGATGCTCAAAACATTGTCCCAGTCCACATTCGCACCCCAGGGTCAGGGCCGAGCTGGGCAGGTGGGGCTGATGGCCTTTAGCTCAGGCCTCCCCACGGGTGGGCAGCACCTGCGCCTGCCCCAGACGGTTTCTAGGCGACATTGCCTCCTCTACACTGGAAAGGCCTGGACGAGAGAACGAGACCCGGGTGAAGGGCCCGTTCCCAGGTTGTCATGGAGCACGTGGCGATGGGGCCGGGCCCAGGGATCAGCCACAACTGCAGGACTGCCAGCCCGCCGGGGGGGAGGAGCCGTGGGCCCTGCCTCCTCAGCCCTCCTCCGCGGCCGGTGCATTTGCCCCGCCCCTACACCCCACGAGACTCTAGGCCCCTGCTCCCCGGGCTGGTAACCACTGGCTGCATGCAGGTGCTGAGCAATGAAATATGGTGGCATGACTCAGCTGCTGCACTTGTGATGTGATTTAATTAAAATGTAAACAGCTGTATGTGGCTAACAGTACCCCACTGGACAGTGTGGGTATGGAACAGGCCCGTCATGCCTAGTTCTGTCGGACAGCGTGGTTCTGGATGGTTTCTGCTTCATGACCAGCTTCGTATCATTGAGGGAGGGGTCAGGAGCATCTGAATCGTTATAATTAACGCAGAGCCGTGGCCAACATGTTAAAAAGATAAACACTGATGTGTACATACATATGCGTCTGTCTGTCTGTCTCCCCAGCAGCTACTCCAGAGGCCTCTGCTCTCGCCCCTCCCCAGCGCCCGTTAACTCCCAGGTCTGTGTTTACTTAGTGTTTGCTACTTCCCCCTTTTTCCTTTAAGAAGACATTGACTGACTTCATGGGAGGGAATGCTCTGTATCGCCAGGACACATGAGTGTTTTCCTGCAGCCGGCACCTCTGAGGATGCATTAGTCTCCCAGGTATCTGGTCTGCAGGTAGTAGTGTGAGGACGTTCCTGGTCCTCTGACTTGTGACTCTGCCGGGGGTGGGGGTGGGCTGGGGCCTCCGGTACCCCAGAGGGAGACACTGCCCCCGTCAAACCTGAGTGATGTCTGGGAGAAGGTTGTAGCAAATGTGAAGAAAGTAACGGTCTGACTCCAGCAAGTAAGGAAGCCAGGCATGGCTTTTTGATTTTCAAAGTATTTTATTTAAATAAGTTTTTCTATTGGTGCGTTTGAATTTTCCAGAAAAAAAAATATTGACAAATACTATACAACTTGTACCATTTCTATTCTTCTTGAAGAGGCCACTGCCTTTTCTCTACCTCCTTCCTCTCCCTCCCCCTAAGAAGCAGAAAAGCAAACCCATTGAGCGGTGGAGAGACCTCCTGAGACCTTCAACTCAGCAGCCAGCCTGGCCTAAGCTGCAGAAACCCCGGGGCCCCTCCCCAGGCCGGTGCTGGTCCCGGACGCCTCTTCTTCACGATCCTTTTTGCCCTTCATTAGCATCAGTCCCCCGAGGCGGGCCCAGCAGAGGCTCCGTCCTGAGGCAGCCCTGTGGCCAGTGGCAGTTGTGGGACAAGAGGCCTAGAGGAAGGAGTAACCGTGGAGGGGAACAGCGCATGGAGTGGGGGGCAGGGGTGCCAGCAGGGGAGGGAGGAAGAGAAGAGCGAGACCCGGGAGAGAAGGGTGAGGATGAACTGGGAAGGGGGCGGCGCCTTGGGCTCCTTTCACACATCCATTTATTCAACAAAAACACGAGGCCTCGCGCGCCCCCCGCACTGTTCTCGGCGCTCCAGGGGAGGCCGCGGTGGGAAGACAGGCCTCGTTCGGGGCTTAGCATCCTGCGTCCAGGCCTGTGGGAGCAACCGAGACGTGAGTTTGGGGATGTTTTGCGCCCTGAGGTAGAGCAGGTCCATTCGATTAGGAGACAGCAGGGCACTGTACCTGGAGACGGAGGCTTTGTCACAGCAATGACAACCGACTGCCATCTTCATTCAAATGAGCAGCCGGTTGCCACGGCAACCGTGTTCTTCGTGTGGTCCCGATCCGGGTGATCTCTTCTCCTAGATCGCATCTGACACCAGCCTCAGCTGTCGGCTTCCACGTCTCCCCAAGTCATCCCTCTCGGGGACTGAGGGTTGGCGGTAGGAAGGGGAACTCGTCCCGGTGGGCAGCGGTGGACGCAGTGAGGCCCGTGCATTTTGTGTGGGGAGATGACTAGTCATCCTGCGACATCAAGGGGACAGTCAGATGCTCCATGAGACGCTCTCCAGGTGACAAGGGGACAGAGAATCAGAGGGTGGCTTCTCTCTCTGGTCAAAAGGGGTTAGGAGTGAGGGGCCTGAGTGCCCAGGATTCTTGGAGCCACTCAAGGCGAGAGGGTGAACATGACTGGTCCCCAAATCATGCAGGCCTGAATTAGGATTCATAGGGTCACCTTTTAGGAGGCCTGGTGCAGCGGGCACCACCCAACGCCCGCCCTCCACAGGCCCGGAGTACACCTGGAGGGCAGGGGAGTGCCAGGTAGCCCAAGGGAGCAAATACAGTGCATTTTTCCATTAGCACAATCTTATAGAATTTAGTTTTTGCTACTATAAATATCAGAGTTTAGCTATGTTATTAATTAAGTCACCATTTCACCACCATTTAGAACAGCTTCCATGGGGAAATATTTCAAGTGAACGACCCAGCAGATTTGCAAATGAACTTTGACAGTGCAGCCTGCACCCGAGTTGAGAATTACCCATCATTGAAATGTGGTCCCAGCACAACCAAAACACCGGCTCATCATATATGTGGGTGGACTCGGCCCCCCACCTTCGGCCTGATGGGGAGACGCTCTCACATGAGGAAACGTGGACCCAGTTTACATGTCCCCACGGACCTCTGGGCACACGTGTCAACCCAACTCTTGGTTCTGCGTGCACGCCCCTGCAGAATTCAACACCCACCTCCGTCCATTGTAGCAAGTAGCGAGCTCACTTGAAGGGCCCTTGGGGGGCTGGGTGAGGTATGACAGGTTTGCCCTTAACATCATCAACAGCAGCCGCAGACGGCCGTGAGTACCAACTGTGTGCACAGCATTTGCTGAACCTCAAGATAAATATCAACCAACCTCTACACAGCTCCATCCTGCTTCCGTTTAAACTGCATCTTCTGCATCCCACCTGCAACATACATGCCTCCGTCAGGGCACTGGGAAATCGCTTCCAGCGCGCCTGCTGCGAGGCTCTCCCGGCGACTGCCTTAAGTCCTTCCCCACTGAAAACCTTCGGGGACCTGGGAAACACCTGGCTCAGGGGTAGCATCTCCTTTCCACCTGTCGAGTATACACTGCACAGGGTCACACTGCAGTCCAGTGAACTGAGTAGAGTACACCTGGTTTCCACAGCTTTCTAGGAGGCACGACCAAGAGCTGTTTGTTCTCGTGTGGAGAACACCCAGCGCCTTGCCGGGTGGTTCTGGGGGTCTTGGACCACATTAAATTCCTACCAGGTAATGACCTTGTCAGGACTTGCAGGACAATAGCTGTCGATGGATTCTGATCCACTGCTCTTTAAATTTGTCCTCCCAGGCGAGAGGCCAGAAGCACCGGAACGTGGTAGGTCTGTATCAGTACACGGGGCCGGAGGCTGTACCGGGCTGCTGGGACTGTCCAGATTGAGGATTTCCAGTCAAAGGTTAGGCACACGTCTCTAACCTGAGCGGTACATGGAGTGGACCGAGCAGAGGCACCTCGCCTGGGTACATAATAGTGCACATGGGCCCGAACCTGGCCAGGCCTTCCCGTGAGATGTTTTTGCAAGAGCAGAACGCACTGCCTCACAGGGGGCCGTGCACAAAGCAGACATTCAATGACCATTTGATGAACATAAAACATTCGCCCAGGTACGCGACGCCTGAGTTTGCGTGCGCACACGCACGCGTGTGCGTGCGTGTGTGCATTTGGGAAACGTGTCAAGACGTATGGATAAACGTTCCTTGTGCTTTTGCATATGGAGTTTGCCAGAGACAGGCGGAAGGCGAGCCTGAGTTTGTAGAAAAGAGCATCGCTTTTGGACACCGAGCTGCCAAGACGGTGCCCAAGAGCTGTCCACGTGCTCCCTGGGAGTGTCCTCCGTGGGGACACTCAGTCTGAGGTTTGTTCCTTGGTTGAGACGTTCCTCTGGGGACGTGACTGTGTCACTTCCGGGATCGCTGCTCCCTGCTCCATGTGTTGTCGGAAGGTGGCTGAGACGAGGGACCCCTCGGCTACCGGCCTAACTAGACAGGCAGCGACAGCCTCTTCTCCAGCTGGAGAAGCTTGGGCTGAGCAGAGATCCAGAGGTCTTCTTCAGCCTTCTTCTTCTTCTTCTTCTTCTTCTTCCCTTTGTTTCGGGGGGGCTGTCGGCCGCTCTCGCATGGCCTGCTGCAGCAGCAGTGACAACAGATGAAGAGGAGTGTGACGAGCACCAGTAGCGGCAGCCCCAGGATGACGCCCAGGCAGATGGAGTTGAACAGGCCCGCTTGGTGTTTGGTTAAGATGGTGTCCCAGATGGCACCGAAGAAGGAGCTCATTTTCTCCATGGCGCTTGGCTAGACGGGGCCGGAGGGACCTCAGAGCTCACCGCCGCATCCCAGGCTCCAGAGGACAGACACAGCCTTGTGCGCTTCCTCCTCTCCCAGCTTTGGGTCTGGTCATGCCACTGAGAGCACCTGAAGGGAGCAAAACAGACCGTTCAGGAAAACTGCAGAGCGAGGCTCTACGATTTTTCATAACATCATAGATTTTAGGCTTAGGAAAGGGGAGGGAATTGAAGATTTGCAGAGTTCACTGAAATTATATTGCGATTCAATAAACAAGACAAATGCGTGCATTTAGTCAATAAGTATTAACTAATGCTTGCTATGTACGCGTACTCTGTTGGACTTAGGATATAAAAATTAACAGAATACCAGAGCTGGCCCACGGAAGATGCTCAACAGTTGTCGGAAGGACGAATCGATGTGTAACCTTCCAGTCAGGGGCCGGCTCTCTGCACCCTCCGCAGGGCGCTTCTCAGCCCACCTGACAGGTGCGAACACCTGCTCCCCACAGGCTCTGTGCCTGACCTATGAACACAACTGGCCGTTTTCAACGCGTTCAACGTGTTCTCAAGCTTCAGCACAAGACGAAACGCTGGTGTCTTGCTGCCCGTCGTCGGGGCTCGGATGTCCCCGGGCTGCGGGGCGGTCAGCCCTCACCTGGCCTCGCTCCCGCCCTCCTCGCCGTCGCTCCGTGCTCTCGTCCCCGCTCCACGTCTCCCCATCCTGACAGGGACTTGCCGTGCTTCGGGCGGGGACCATCTGCTGGTCCCCTCTGTCCCTTCCTTCCTCTCCCCCATTACCTTCGCCTCTGCTTCCTGCACCTCAGCCTAGTACCCCCAGCTCTCCCCCGCGGACTGCTCCCTTTCTTTTCAGTGGAAAAGGAGTCTTGAAGGCTGCTCAGCCACGGCACTCGGAAACCGGGCCGGGGCTCCTGGATGCTTCTCCGCTTCTGTCCTGAGCTCGGCCCGCAGTGGGGTCTGTTCCAGTCCGTGGGCCAGAGTGACCCCGTTTCCACGGCATCCCCTCTGCCTCTCCACCTGTGTCTCAGGCCTCCGCTCCCAAGGGTAAGTTCTCAGAGGCCCCTTCAGTTCTGGAATCCACGCGTTCATGTGTCCATATGAGACTCGGCGGACAGGCACGAGTCAAGGACATTTAAGAGGCTTCTCGGGGCACGACATTGCCCAGGACCCACGAGCAAAGAATTATTTCCATGCTGGAGACCTTAGACATCGTCCTGACCAACTCTCTCACTTAAGGACGCAGAGTCTGAGGCTCAGAGTGGGGAAGTGACCTGTCTGAGGACACAGAGCCGTGATGAGCACCCAGACATCTGGACAAGGGGCCCAGTGCCCTCCCAAGGCTGCCAAGCCAGAGGAAGAACTAAGGACGACAGCGTTACTTTGCACTCATGTTTCACATGATACTTTTCTAATCACCTTCACGTGAACTGCATCTTTTAAGTGAGCAGCAGGAGGGTGCGCTATCCATGGAGACTTGACCTGGAGATCTGGGTCCAGAGTCATCTGCTTCATCCCGTTGTCCTGAACTGGAACATAAAGGTAGCACCCCGCCTGGGTGCTACGTCACAGAGGTACCCGGGAGTTGTCCTCAAGGTCCATTTCCTTGGATAACACACTCTGGAAGTGTCCCATGTACCCAGGGCGCATATGTCCATCGAGCTCTGGAAAATGTTTTGAGAGAGTTCTTCATGCATTTAGCAAACCCTGACTGCGCTCCTAATATGTGCCACACCTGAACGAAGGACAGAGATACAGTTTCTGGGATCGTGGAGCCTTGTACATTCCAGGGGAATTGGGCTTATTGAGGGATCATGTCATAAAAGTAAAATATAATAAGCAAATTCCAACCTAGGTTGCTTGGCTGACTGAAATAGAAGCGTGCATTTGAATTCCACGTTTGCCTCAACGTCCCAGGCCCTCCTCCGCGTCCCCACCTTTGTCTCAAACTCGTCTTTCCCATGGCACCTAAACAGCCTTTGAATAAATAGATTTCTTTTCAAGCTAAAGCTAAGTCAATAATTCAGTTCGGGATTCCTAGAGGTACTCATTTGAGTCTGTTCTCCAGATAGCCAAAGAGAGTATTCATTAACATTTGGAAACCCGGTCTGGGGAATATTCGATGAAAAGGTATTCTTTATACCTTTTAATCTACGGACTCTCTTCTAGGCGCCCCAGGTTACCTGCTGGGCTCTGCAAATCTACCGTGTTTCATTAGCATTTATGAACCTTGCATCATTAGCATTTCTGTGAAACAATCACTCGTCTCCTCGGTGGTACGAATGAAAAGTTGAGAGCTTCCACCGACTGTTCTGTAAAAGGAGTCACAGTTTGGGCCTGAGAAATGCACTCTGGGAAGCCCCATCCTTTCCCTGGCTCGTGGCATCTGCTGGCACGGTGAGAGAACTCATCCATCCTTGTAAAACCGGCAGTAGATGCCCATCAACCCTGACCGTGTGATTGTGGTCATGGTGGTGGGTATGAGGAGAGAAGAGGCTAAAAGCTACTCACGGTTTCCTTGAAACCAAAAATTATCTTTATATCCCCTGCGGGGTCTAGCTGGGGAGAGTCTTTCATCCATTCCTTCTCCCAACAGACTTATACTGGCCTGTGTGCGAGGTGTTGATGGGCCAGGAGCCCCGGCTCTGAGCCCCGAGTCAACCCGTGTGGCCTTGGCGAGCTACCGAACCTCAGCTACAAAACGAGGCGAATGAGCTTCCCTCCTTCTGGTGTCGTGGGAATAAAAAGGCTCAATGTATTTAGTGCATTTCGTAAACTGTAAAATGCTGTCGAACATAGTCTATAAAACAGTGGGTTAGTCGTCCCGATAACTGGACTAGTTCTAGCCTCGGCCTTTTCTGTCCCATGCTTTACCTCCCAGCCTGATCCTCATCACCAGAGGACCCTCCGCCCCGCTCCCATGACGAGGGGTTCGTGGGGAGCCTCTCTGCTGGTGGCTGGTCCCCAGGCCTGCAATGGAATTTGACCCAGCAGCAGGGATGGAGAAGGGTCATGTGGGGGAACATCTGGTGGTACCTGGGGGACCGTGTCCCCCATCACTGTCATCACGACTCGCTGCCGCTACATTCAGCCATATGGTCCCCAGATCTTGGGGACACTTGATAGTGTGCTAAGGCTTGAACTCGTCGCGTTAGCTTTGGAGGCGCGTCACCCGAAAAGGTGCCTGAGGGCTGAAGGCAAACGTGTCGAGCCCATTGCTTGGCCAGTGCTCTCCGCAGGTGCGTGTCACAGTGTCGAGGTCCCGATCACAGACTAAACCTACGCTGACTCAAGTTAAAGCGATGAGTTCAACTGTTAGCACACTGTGAAGTGTCCCCAAGTTCCGGAAACCCAGGGAAATGAGGCGTTTATCGTGCTTTTCTCAGACGAACGATCGGCCGCATTGCTTCTCCTGAAAGGACCGTGTGGCTGAATGTGGCGGCGGCGAGTGGTGGGGACGTTGGGGTGACACCAGGTAGGCGGCCCCTCGCCCACAGGCCCCTAAGTCATGGCGACGGCTGGCGTGCTCTAAGAGCCACGGGGTTTTAAGCAAGGAGAGGACGGGATCGATCTGTTTCATAAAGAACGCCGTCACTGAGGTGAGAGGTGGCAGGCTGTCAAGAGCGGCAGTGAGCGGAGACGGTGACAGTTGTTCAGGGACAGGGTGAGGGGGGTGAGTGGGGGGACGAGTGGCCTGGCAGGCGTTTCCCAGCGGACGAGATGGGAGACGGACATGAGGACGTGTCGCTGGGCTGTGCTCTGCTCTCTGCCTTCCAGCCCTGGTCTCTCGGCTCGTCCAGTCTGGCATATTTTATTTTCTCTAAAATCGGAATCCCATCGAGCCGTCTCTGCCTGACTCCTGCCTTCTCCCCTGGGGAATTCAAACATCTCATCAGCCCCCGGCGTCTCCACCCTGCTGGCTCAAACCTTGGCCCAGCTCTCCAAACCACCACGGTAGTCCTCGCAAAATCCCCGCGGTCCTGGTCAGGACAGGGTCACACCCTCAGGAGCCGGTTGCCCTGGCTGCGGGGCGGGGTGGGGGTGGGGCGCTTGGGGCCTCAGGCGGTATCATTAGCTCCACCCTTCTGGATAGATTTTCTTGACCGTTCTCACCTTATGCGCATGTGCTCGGATGCCCCCATAGGTGTGAGTACTATTTGTGCAAAAATCGTCACGTCCCAGCAAATAGTCTGCTCATAGATTATTAGGTTTATAACTGCAACCTGGCTCTAGGCATGATGAGAGAGATATCTGTATTTCTCCCAATTTAATTAATTGCTTCAAGTAACTAGTCCAAATACAAAGTGGAAGCCTCTTTTTTTCCCTCCCCAGAGTATGCATATATGGTATGTAACTAGATATCAAGTATTTGAGGAAAATAGATAGGATTCTCCCTCAGAATCGATGTTATAATTATGGCTGCAATCTTGGACAGCGGCACAAATAGATCATCAATACGGGAATGATTAAAGCACCATGATTATTAAAAATAACGACGTGATGCTTTATGGTGTAGACATCCTGGATAGACGACTAATATGTGCCACACCTGAACGAAGGACACAGATACAGTTTCTGGGATCATGGAGCCTTGTCCATTCCAGGGGAATTATGCTTATTGAGGGATCATGTCATAAAAGTAAAATATAATAAGCAGAGGTGGGTCGTGTGGCTGGGTTCCCCGCTTTGTCGGTAACGGACATGAGACCATCGGAGGCTCTGACTCGCCAGACACGCACTTGGCGGTTGGTGCGGTCGGGGCCAGAATCAACGTCCCCAACTCCTGGCATGTCTTCCTGCTGGGTCTCCCCTACAAGTGTCCTTGAAAATAAGGAAGATGCCACCACATTCTTGCCCTGGGCACAGGCTAGACTGTCCTTCTCAGGCCCCGGCATCTCTGTGGGGCCATGTGACTGAGTTCCGGCTGAGGATGCTCGGGCCTGGCTCCTGGGACCTTCCCCGAGATCCTCGCCTTCGCTGTCCGCCTGCACAGTGGCTGGCCGCATGCAGAGGGCCCCGGGGAGGACTCCCAGACCCCCGAGGCAGCAGAGATGGAAGGTACTCCTGAAGGACTGTGGGAGCCCAGCACCCCTGCTGACAGGCATCACAGTG